AGAATGACATTGACCTGTACTATACTGAATGATATATTTCTATATCTGCCTTCCATCTCTTAACTATGAACTAAGGAAGGACAGAAACATGGTAAATTGGGAATAAAAATTATTGTTCTCAGATAATTATATTCTAAAGTATATAAAGTGCTAATCCATACTAAGTACCTGATACTTATGAAGGAGTCAATAAATAATATTTCTATTAATGACCCAGGCTAGTGCTTCTCTGGCTTTGTGAATGCTATAGACCAATTCAAAGAAATGGGCAGAACTGCACATTCATACTTAAGAAATGGTTCAATTTAAAGAAAAATATTAGGTCTACTCTAGTATAGTTGTCACAGAGCTGAATCAAAATCCATGAAAATCTTATATGGAAAACTGAAGCTTAAGAACATGTTGAAAAGAAACTACATGAAATCATTTTGATACCACCTAGTACCCTCTACCATGTGTCAGGCACCAGGATAAGCACCACGTATCACCACATATCATTTAATCTATAGAAGTAAAAAAATAAATATTTCATGTATATGCACATTCAAACACAAAGATATATGATCATTAACCTATTTTCCTTGATACAGATGAAAAAATCAGAGCTGCATAAAAGATACCCTAGTTTTCCTACTATTACACAGAACCCTGGGTGGGAACCCTGAGTCAGACTGATAGAGGGAAGCCAAGTATTTAACTAATGCTCTATGTCTTCTTCATTGCACAGTTAGTCTTGCAACTGAAGGCATTTTGAACTTTGTATAATCAAAGGGCTCATGTTTAGAATTTGCTTTTACACACAGGTTTTTCTCTGTAGGATCCTGCTGTCTTCTACACTGATAGTGAGGTCAAAATTAGCTAGAACTTTAAGTCAGTCACAGGACTGGTTGACCTGAGAGTCAACTCCCTTCAAGGCAAGTTTTCAATTAGCAGAGGAAGACAGCACTGTCAAGTGCTGACATCCCAACCCAGAGCTCCTTTCTGCTCAGGGTTATTTCTCAGGGAAGGTTGTTGAGGGATGGGTACATTCCACCAGCTAGAGGCTATGCCAGTGACCTTTAATGCTAGTTTAGCTTAAACACATTTTGACATTTTGAAAAAAATTAGTATATTTTTACAAGGTGGGGCAAGCACCACAAATTAGACCTAATGGTTTGCCTGTAGGCTGGATCAGCAGAGTCGACAGAGCCTTCGCTGCTGCTCTTGGGGGCTCTTCTGAGTCCCATTCTAAAACAAAAAAAAATTTCTGCTACCACATGCAACCCCCCCACACACGCTTTAAAAAATCACAGTTGTATAAATGGCAGCAGCTTCTGGAAGTTAACCTTAGATCCATTTCAGTAGGACAGAGTTGTGGGCTCTCTCCACAATTAATAGATACTTGTTCCACCAGCCAGAATCAGCTCAAAAACATCACTACATTTGTTGGGTGGGGTGGCGAGGCTCTGTTTTTACTGTGTGGGTGTAAAGCACTAGTTCCTTGAAAAATTACCTGGAAATGGACACAATTAACATAAGAATGGCATAAGAGGAACTGACAACCTAAAAGCAGTGAAAAGGTCCGTCCTCTAAAACAATGGCCCCTCGACTACTAAGTAGGCACACATCTTTCATCTGAGCAGATCTCACAGACAAGCTGCCCCACCGAATCAAATGGGAATTAAAGGGATACTATGTAGCTGGCATACAAAGTGTCTCAAAAGCACAAAGGCCACTTTCGTCACAGAAAACTGCCAGAGGGTAGCTCATTTGATGGGAAAGAAAACAGACAGACACGATGTCTGGTGTATTTTTGAGGCAATATTAAATCTAATAAACATGACACCAATAGTATCGGCTTAAATCGGGTTGCGAGAGTTGGAGAATTTCAGAGCTTGTTTTCTCACCGCCAGCTTTTATCTCAGAGGCAGCCTTGATAGCTGAGAACAGAGTCTAAAATATGTTCCTTCCATAGCTTCTGCCAGGTGTGTGCCATTCCTGGGCCTCGGTCCTGGCTCTGGCTCCCTGAGTGGGGATAATTAGAACGTCATTTCAGCCAGCTTTGTTTTTTCTGGGTCACCGACTTCAGACTCGATCAAAATAGGAGTGTTGTACTGAAATCAATTCATTTCCTCTTCCTCAGCCAGCCCTGACTTATTTCCTAGGGGACCATGTTCCATAGGAATAGAGCACACGGACAGCTTCAGGACAAGTTTGATAGTGTATATAGAGGTCCAAGGTGGGGGCACAGGGTGAAGGGAGAGCCAACCGTCCACAGTAGCAGCAGCGGCAACGGCAGTGGCAGCAGGCACTCACTCTGTCTCTCTGTGGCAGCACAGTGACACGCAAAGGCCTCAGATAGACATGCTGAGGAACACTTCACCACAAACTGTTCTGGGAGCTGTGGCTGCTGGTGGTTAATGATTATCCAATGTCCTCAGTCCGAAAGGCTTTGTAGAACATGCATAATACAAGCTGAGCTTTATACCCCATTAGCACACAAATTCCTAGCTGCCCAGAGGCATATGGTTACTGACCAGAGAAGGGCAGCATTTGTAGAGGTGGAAGTAGAGGGCACAGAAAGCTGTGGGGACACAGTGAGGTTGCTGTGCATTTGGGGGACACTCAGACTTGGGGGCAAAGGGCCTCGTGTGGTATAACAAGGAGAAGGCAAAGGCAACCTTTGCTTTCCTCACAGCACCACCCTTAGAGGGTACAAGTAAAAAAATAAGTTCTTATCTCAGACATCAGATCGGGCCTTTTCCCACTTTATTAATCATTATTCATAAGGTCTCTTTCAGCTGAGGAAGTAGTGGGCGTCAAAATGCAGTGAACGTCCATATCTGCTTTCCAAACGTTCTGATTCCGTGAGAAAAATAAAGACTTCCCTCGGCTTCCCTGCAAAGCTGAAAAGCTTAGTTACGTTACTTTCACTATTTTAGTCCTGAATGAGATTTATTTTTCTGCCTTTGTCTAGCTGGAAAGGAGAGAAATGGATAGTAATGAGTGGTCATGTGGGAAGTGCTATATGCAGCAGAGTTCTCCGTGAAGTGCCTAGGGATAAGCAGTCACCATCGGGAAATGTCAGGGCAGGCACTGAGCCAACTCATGTCCAGAAAAGAACTACAGTGAAATCATGTTTACTTAGCTTATCCTCAGCATCTAGCAGAGCCCTTGGACAGGGCACACTAGACACACACGTGCACATGCGTTCGCGCGCGTACACACACACACACACACACACACACACACTGTTTTACTCTTCTCAAACACCTCTGTACTCTCTATACCCTATATTGCCTTCCTAGTTTATATAGCATGATTCCTTACCTAGCCTAATGCAGAAGCCACCAAACTGGCTGGTCTCACCTCTGCCTCCCACATTGTCTCTAGAGCGGGCAGTAAGATCCATCTGAAACACAAGTAGGACTATGCCATCTGCCTACTTAAAGCTCTTCAATGACTACCCCAGTCACAAAAACAAAACTGATATGTGCTTCCTTTCATTACCTGGTATATTTATTGAGCAGAGATGCCACAAAAAAATAGCAAAGTTCAGGTGTCTTCAATAACAAAATTTATTTTCTCAAATCTTTGGCCACTGGAAACCAAAAACACAGACGTTGGCTTCTCCTAAGACCTCTCTTGTTCACATTCAGATGGCCATCTTCTTGCTATATCCACATAGAGACAACCCCTAAGTGTGTGCAGTCTCCATTTTCATAATCACACTTACAGTTTGGAGAGGTCTCCACTCTTACCATCTTAACTATCCTAATTTATTCTTTAGATACCCTAGCTCCAAACACAGTCACATTGAAGGTTAGTGCCATGAGACCTAACTTTGAAAAGGACAGGATTTACTCTGCAACATCTAGTCACTCTCTACCTCCTGGTGGGCATCATTTTCTTAGTTTCACGCACTGAAACTATATTAACCTTACTGAAATATTTATTATACTCGAGATGAGTCATGCCGTCTCTGATGTTTGGGCTTTTACCCTTGCTATTTGCTCTGCCCAAATGGTCCTTTACCTACGCTGCTCTTCTCTACTGGTCACTTCGCCCTTGGTTTACACACCGTCATATCTATTAATATCCCGCCTCTATATCTATGTGAAGTCCTCTCATGCCCTTTCTATTGCTTCCTTCTCACAACATGGAGAGTAATCGCTAATAGTGCTTTCAAGGGCCCTACCAGACCAAACAGTTCCTTAAGGGCATAGGTTTATGTGTCGGAAAACTGTATTTTAATCCCTAAAGCTTAGTACAAGGCTTAGTACAGAGAATGTTCTCATCAACAATTCGGGGAAATCAGAAACCAACCTGTTTCTTCACCAAGTTTGAGGACCCAAGAACTAAACAAGACCCAGCTAAGTGAGAAGTATGTTCCCACCTAGGACTCCAGATCAATAGCTAGCAGACTATACCTGCATAATATACGAGATGGATCTTAGGCCTATGCTAATGGCAGGCCCTGACCAAAAGGCTGTTGATTGGGTAAAAAGCTGGTTTCCCCAGGGCTTCATTGTCACACAATCTTTATGACTTTGCTTTTCTAAGCATATACAAGACAATAAAAGAATTGTGTGTGTGTGTGTGTGTGTGCGTGCGTGTGGCGTGTGTTAATCCAGAGGTCCTACAGAAATAACCTTCAAAATCATCTAGAGATCTGTAAAAACACAGACGGTTGGGTCCCTGTTCTCAGGGATTATGGTACAATGTGCCTAGGATAGAGCCTCAAAGTTTGCATCAAGTGATGTTATGGTTGTCAGTTCCAGAGACCACACTCTGAATTCCACTTATCTAGAAGATACTTTGGGATTATGGAAAACAATTCATATTGTGTTGAAAATAGCACAAATGATAAATATATCCATCCTTCATTATCAAACAGCATCAATGCTGCTGAAATCAGTAATAGTACAGAAACAATAAGCTATTTATTACTCGTATGGTAAAATTGTCTCTGGAACGATGTGGTAACTTAGTGGCATGTGTTCTGTTTGTTCTTTTTGTAGGTGCGATTAGAGTGGCCAACCGACCTCACAGTCAATCCCATGGACAACTCATTGTATGTTCTGGATAACAACATCGTGCTGCAGATTTCTGAGAACAGGCGTGTGCGGAATATCGCAGGGCGTCCCATTCACTGCCAGGTGCCCGGCATCGATCATTTCTTGGTCAGCAAAGTAGCAATTCACTCCACTCTGGAGTCAGCCAGGGCCATCAGCGTCTCCCACAGCGGGTTGCTCTTCATCGCTGAAACAGACAAGAGGAAAGTGAACCGCATTCAGCAAGTAACCACCAATGGGGAGATCTCCATCATAGCCGGCGCCCCCACTGACTGCGACTGCAAAATTGATCCCAACTGTGACTGTTTTTCAGGTATGACCTTTTTAGCAATTCACCAGCTGACCCTCTCTGTTTTCAAAAGCAAAACCGGCATCAGAAAAGCCTAAAGGAAAACAAAAAGGAATTCGTATAAACAACTGTGTGGGCTCACGGAGAAAGCAATGTATTGGGAGTTAGCGCTGACAGCTGACTGAGTGACCCAGAAAAGCCATAAAACCTTTTCACAATCCATCTGCCTTACTTGTTACATAGAGATAAGTATATTTCTCCATCATGTCACCTTGCTGTTCTTGGGGAAAACAGACATAATAACTTTCCAGAGTCTCAAAAAAGTTAACATCATACAAATTTAAGATCGTGCCGTTATTTGTGCTTTAGAGAAAGGAAAATAGGTTGAAAAACATATTTACTGATTTTATTAAGCCACTTGCCCAAAGTGACTGCCTTCCAGATGGAAAGCATGCTCTATTAGAGGGTTGAAAGGACCCCAAGCAGACTGCTGTGAGCATGTACGGGCAAAATTAAATTCCCCAATTGCAAATTCTTATGGCATCAGTCGCCTGTGTTACTTGATGTTAAAAGCTCTGAAATTCCATAAACAATGGTGCCCTTTTAGCTGAAATGGGAGAGGAAAAGACGAGCCTTTTCCACAAACATGAAATAGTTATTTCTGATAGCAAACAGAGCTCTAAATGTCAACAGTTCTGTTCATGTCTGAGGAGTGGAAGTCCCTCCCCGCTACATGCAAACCTATTAAGCTACTCACCCAGGACTGAATAGCCCTCATAAGTTTTGTGTTTCCTTGAGAAGAATCCAGAATCAGTAAGTTGTTCAATATGACTTTGTTCAATATTTCCTGTATTTTCCTGGACAATGAGATTTATAGATGTTTTAGTAATTTATATATTTTATTCAAGGTGTATCTGCTATTTATGTCAGTTACCAGCTTTGGTATTTGGAATGATTGTTATACTTACAGACTTAGCATATTTTGACAATGGAACAAAGGAAATTAATAGAGGAAATGACTTCTAAGCATAGTAGGACCAGAAGATTCTAAAACAAATCCTGCAAATAGCAACAGGAAAGAAACTTACAAACTGGCAGGCAAATTTGGTGTGGCTATCGTTATTTGCTGTGCCTTGCAATACAATAGGTTCTGAACAGCAGGATTTAGGAATTAACAGAATTGGTGTAACTGAGATAATTATATCTTACTGTTCATCTTTAGTGTTACTGACTCAAGAACTACAATCTTTTGAGTAAATGGGTTTCAAAATAATCAGGGGGCATGCAAAGAATGATGGTTCTCTGATTGTTGTTTTTTTTTTTTTCTTAAAATGATTTTTGATGTGTGTTGCTTTAAATCTCAGGTATGCTCACTCAAATTCTTTGGGTGCCAATTATTAAAACTGGGTCTTTTTTTCCCCGTAGGTGATGGTGGGTACGCCAAAGACGCAAAGATGAAAGCCCCTTCCTCCTTGGCAGTGTCACCTGATGGTACCCTCTATGTAGCAGACCTTGGCAATGTTTGAATTCGTACCATCAGCAGGAACCAAGCCCACCTGAATGATATGAACGTTTATGAGATTGCCTCGCCTGCTGACCAAGAACTCTATCAGTTCACTGTCAATGGAACCCACCTACATACCGTGAACTTGATAACAAGGGACTATGTATATAACTTCACCTACAATGCTGATGGTGATCTGGGTGCCATCACTAGCAGCAATGGCAATTCAGTGCATATTCGCCGGGATGCAGGTGGCATACCTCTATGGCTTGTGGTGCCTGGCGGGCAAGTCTACTGGCTTACCATAAGCAGCAACGGAGTCCTGAAAAGAGTGTCAGCTCAAGGCTACAATTTGGCCTTGATGACCTACCCAGGAAACACAGGACTTCTAGCAACAAAAAGTAATGAAAATGGATGGACCACTGTTTATGAGTAAGTTTCTAATGTCCAACCCCACTTTCGTTAGGTTGTTATTTGAGAGAGAATTACGGTAAGAACATTGTTTCATAATTGATGGCTGTTGCGTACTATTTTCTCCTAACAATCACGGATAAAAAATAAAAAGTAAGTAGTCAAGAAGAAAATTTTACCCAGCTCCTAGGGTGGGACCCATTTTGCCTAAGCAGTTTGCAGAGCATAATATTTAAAGTATAGTGTGGCACTGCAGGAGACATGAAAGAGGTATAAGTTCATACACACACAAAAAAAAATCCACAGCATCCCTGGGAAGACAAGCTACAATTGAATCTAAATAACAAAACTAAAGGATGCTGCTAAAGCAGTAAAGAAGCGGTGTGATTTAACAAGTATTTACTGATCTCTGTGGGGTTTAATGGATGAATAAACAAGTCTGTGCCCAGCCCAACTCAGTATTCGTTGCTGTGGGAGATAACAGTGAAGCTGGAATGGAAGAAGTGGACCTTGAAAGGCAAATGTAAAATTCCGCGGAGCACATGCTGACTAGCAGCTCTGAGACCCTGACTGCTTCTGCGAAATGTGGAGCCACGGGCTTCAGTGCAACCCCAGGCTTCCTTGGTGCCCCTGCACAAGTGGAACCTAGCATGCAGTGGCAGTTACAGACTAGCTAATTCCGTGATAACTTCATTTCACTGGGAACTAACACAAAGTATGTCTGACAGCAAGCTACTAGGAATTACCATGGCATGGAAATAAAGACCATTGCCCTTACCTGGTTTCTGAGTCAATTGGCTCAGCAAGCCAGACTGGCAGCCCTCGGGAAGCACTTTCCCCACAAAGGAAGCTGCCCAGTTTCTAACAGTATACTGAGTGAGAATAATCCCTAGAGTCAGAACTCAGAACCTGGGATGACAGTCAACTTGAAGGCTTTAAACCATGAAGAAGTGGAGATACTAAGTTTGATGAGTTTCACATGTGACTATTCTTGTGTGGCTGTAGAAAAATATGAAGAGAATATGTCCAGGCCCACAAAAGCCTCCTGAGGAAAAGAACAAAGCAACTGTCCTTCAAATTTTGGAGCACTTCCCAAAGAAATGTCATTTATACAAAAGACCTGAACAGCTACTCCAGTTTCACTTGGAGAAATGTGCTCAGTAGTTTCTATTGCAGGACTTTTGGGTTTTTTGTTTAAGTTTTCTTATATCTTAATAAAAGCAACAAAAGCTGCTATTCTCTAAGGATCTACTTACTGCTAGATGTTATGTTAGGTAATTATTATACATCATTTTATTTGGCTTTCTTTGTAACAATGTAGAATAGGTTCTTCTAGCACTCCTATTTTATAGATAAATAACTAAGTCACAAATATAGTTAACTGGTCCTGATTCACCCAGCTATCCAGAACTCAAATGCCAATAATCTAAGTCAAAAAGTCTTACTTTAAAATAGTCTTCCTTTAGGAAAATTAATTTCTAATGAGACACTTTTAATGTCTTTTAAAACAAGTCTCACTCCGGATCACAATGCAGTTAAAATTAGGCAAAAAAAAAAAAATCTTGAAACCTGCCTGCTGAATTCAGTCCTCCCAAAATAAATAGTTGATGAGTTAACTAGTTTTTAAAACAACCAGGTAATCCATTTCCTTTTCATTTGTTTGATTAACATTTGTTGAGTATTTGCTGTGCACTACAAAATGTTTCAGGCATGCCTAATCTTTAACACACTGAGGCAGAATGGTATCATCTACTAAGTTCACATAAGAACTATGGCATCAACTTAGAAAAAAAACAAAAAATTCATAATGTTTTAAGTAAGTTCATGGTTTTGTATTGACCTTCACTCACAACTATCCTGAGGTTCATGCAGCCTGTAGGCCACAGGCTGGACGTGCCTGCTAGGTGTGGCCTTATAACCAATAACAGAAAGATAAGTTCCATATATTCATGGAGCTTACATTGTACTGGAGAACAATAAGTTGTATAGAATTTCAAATAGCAATGCTATATAAAGAAGTTATATATGTATACATATATATGTAAATATGGTATATGATATATTAATAATCTTGAGCTAGTAAGATGACTCAGCAGGTAACAGTGCTTGCCTCCAAGTATCATAACCTAAGTTTGATCCTAGGGACCCACATGGTGGAAGGAGAAAACTGACTCCCATAAGTTGCATAAGTTGTTCTATGACTTCCCCCTTTGTCCCATAGCACATTAAGATAGGAGAGAGAGAGAGAGAGAGAGAGAGAGAGAGAGAGAGAGAGAATAGATTAGGTAGGTAGATAGATAGATAGATAGTTAGAATTTATGAAAAACTGTACACATTTTGAAAATAAGCATGATCAATACCTAATGACAAAGTAGTGTAGTATTTGTGGGAAAGCTGGGTCAAAAACAATTTCAAAGTTTTTGGCCTAAGCAACAGAATATAGGGATTTCTATTCTTAGAAAGAAACATTATGCAAGAGGTATTGTAAGGTAAGAAACTAGAAATTCGATTTCTGACAATCAGTTAAACATTTAAATGGATGAGTCTGAAATTCAAAAGGAGCTAGAGATCTACATTTGGAGTCAACCAATGTTTAAAATGTATTTAAATCCATGAAACAGATGAGATCTCCAGAAAAGTGAGTAAAGACTAAGAAAAGAAAGCAACAGAATGATTCTGAAGACCTTCATAGTTTAGCTTAAGAAAGAATGGTGAAAGAGACTGGGAAAGGAGGGCCATTGAACTAGGGAAGCAGCATGTCCAGGAAGTCAATTGTCTTAGTCCAACCAATTTGTACTCTTAACCAAACTGCCTTAGATCAGGTTATTCATAAACAATAGGAATCCACTGTGAGTGTGTGTGCATATGTGTGTGCAAATGTGCTCACACAGTGGCATGCATGCCAGAGGACAACTGTAGAGCTGATACTCTCCTTCCACCTTTACAGGGATCCTACGGATCAAACTCAGGCCAGCAGGCCTGTGCAGCAAGTGCGTCTACTCACTAAGACACCTTGCCAGGAGGTATAAAGTCTAAAATCCAGGTGCCAGCAGAATCAGTGTGTAGCATGGGGTACGCTCTACTTGCATGATGGTACCTCTTACTGTGTGTCTTCACATGGCAGAAGTAGGAAAGAAAAGAGGTAGACTCTTCCAATAACTCTTTTGTAAAATCACAAATATCATTATGGAGACAGAACCCTCATGACCTAATCATCTCCTAAAGACCTCTTGAAATTAGAGAGATAGCTCAATGGTTAAAATCACTGGCTGCCCATTCAGAGAACCTGAGCTCAATTCCCAACACTGCACGGCAACTCACAACCATCCTTAACTTCAGTTCCAAGGTATCTAGACATATCAGGCATGTAAATAGTACACATCAATGTAGGATAAAAACACATGTACACATAAACATTTAAAACATTACATACAATAAATGTTAAAAATAAAAGCCAAATTAAAATACTTCAATTTACAAGATTGGGGGAAGCACTCATGCTCCATCACTATGTAAATCAGGTGACTCAAAAAGGACAAAGGTGACAGTTCAATGGTAGATGACCTGCTTCACATACACATGACCCTGGGGGAAATGTCTGGCATCCCCAGAAAAAACTGAAAGTGATCAGATATTAATAAGTAAATTGGTACTGAGAATTGATCGTTCTATTTTGAATTGTGAAGATCATTATTTACCTGAAAGGGGGACGATTCTGAAACACAGTGAAGGACTCAAGCCTTAATACAAGAGATTGAAGAAAGACTGTATAGATGCATAAATGTTCATGACACCACAGTTGGTAATAACCAAGAAATGTTCATAAAGTGATGTGCATAATGCAAACTAAAAATATCATGAAGTAATACTCAAAGTAGAAATGAAGTTTTGATAAATGCTAAAACATGGATCAACCTTACAGCATTAAGTGAAAGATACCAAACACAAGAGGGAAAGTATCACATGGTTACATTTACAGAAAATTCCCAAGGGAGGAAAATCTATATAGATATAACATAGATTAGCAGTCATCCGGAGCTGATAAAAGGGATGACCTTGGGATATGAATATGAATATAGGGCTTGTTTGGAGAACAGTAGGAATGTGCTAGAAGTGGTGGCAATGGTTATATAACATGACCAGTGTACTGGAAATATTAGAAGCTTGTACCCTTTAAAATGCTAAATTTTGTGGTTTGTGAATTCTCTCTAGATAACAATAAAAGGAAATAGGAGAAAGACTGGATACAGTGGATAAAAAGTTACTTTGAGGACCTTTGCTATAAGGAGTAGAGAAATTAGAATACATGGTGGGGGTGAGGGATGAAGTCGAAAGAAGGAATTTTTGTTGTTGTTCATTTTTGCTTGATTTGGGTTTGGGTTTGGGTTGGAAGCATGGTCTCACTATGTAGCCTTGGCTAACCTGAAACTCTATGTAGACTAGGCTAGCCTCAAACTTACAGAAGATTTTAGTGAAATATATTTGCTCGCTAATATAAAATGTGCAGCATTGAGGAAAAACATTACGATGCCCATTAGAGAGGAGAGTGCTACTGAAAGATCAGTTGGTGTGCCAGATTTCTGCTGTTGGCACCTTGAAGCAGGGGCAATATGATAAGCAGTATCCCCCAAACCTGCAAATCTGTCACCAAGATTCAGCCCACAATCAGTATAGGGAAAGCTACTAAAGTCATTGTAGCATAACCAGTATCGAGACTCTAGGGAGTAGGAAACACAAGCATCCACAGGGGAGTAATCTTGAAATGTTAAGGCCACAAAGAGAACTTAGAAGTCATTTTATGAATGAGGGAACAGAGTCCCAGAGCAAGGAAATAACCTGCCCATTCAGATCTAGAGTTAGACTTATTCTCTCTGTTCTACCACTACCGCACTGTGTTCCGTAAAATTGTGGACATTTGAGATCACAAGAATGACAATGCAGAATATGGAGATCTAGAGGAGGAATGAATATGAGAACACCATTAGATAACGAAGAAGGCTATTCTTTCCCCCACATTCTTAACTCCAGCAATAAATATATATGCTGAAATGATCACAAACAGATGTGTTGAGAGAATATACCTCTTCCTTTTGAAGCTATCTGTTCTCAGGCTGAACAGCAGTCCCTAACAAACTACAGCCCCTATCCTATCTTGCCTGGCCGTGTAAGAATACATGGCTTTCTGTCCCTGATAATGGGCTTAAATTGCCTACCTTCTGCATGTGTCTTGTTTCACTTATATTCTCCTTACTTTAGCTCAGGCCTGATATCCGCACAAAATGTCCTTTTCCTCCTGAAGTTGGGGAACACACACTTGAACCTACTGTCTCAATTAGGGTCAGAACAGTGCTTAGCATAAAAGAAACTGAAAGGATTTTTTAAAACTTAAATGTTTTTCTAAAGTGAGAGAGTGGTTTCTTTGGCTAACAGGAACAAATGGTCTTCCAACTTAAAAACAGAAATTCTGTTGTGGGATAAGAAGCAAAGTTTGGCAGGATGGATATTTGATGTGTAGAGAGACCCATGAGAGTAATCTGTTCAGCTTTCGATTATCTGCAGCTATTGAGAGGAAAAATGACACGAATGACCCCGAGCAGTGGGTAATGCGAACGGGACTGAAAAGAGCCTCTTGTGCAGTAGTACTGCAGGGGCTTTTATTCTACGATGGGATATTGTTTAAATAGTTCATTGGTTTTCATAATTCTGTTTGATTTGGACCAAGATCAAAATTACACACCCCAAGTATTAGTACTTGAAGCCTCACTGCCCATAAGCATCCTGAGTGTCAGGGGGCAGGAGTGAGAAGCTGACCACGGAGAAATAGCTAACAAGGAGGTGACTGTCAACACAAGAGTACTGGAACAATGAGGAATGCATTCTGCCCTGACAAGCTAATGGGCCCCTAATTATAATGACCCTGCCAGTGGATATCCAAGGGAAAGGCTTTGTACTTCACATAACGAGCTCACCCTCAGAACTGAAATCGTAACCAGGATGCTTTTGCTTATTGTTCTGGTATTTTCCTGGCCAAAAAAAAAATCTTCTGCTACATTAAATGGGAAAGGTGCCAGGCTAAGGCCAGGGCATCAGTTGTGTCTGCTGTCAGGTTAGGCCAAGTTAACAGCTCCTCAGTCCCTTTGCCCTTTGTAGGAAGTCCTTTCACTTGTGAGGACCTCTGTATTTCCATGCGTTATTGATCTTTCAGTCCTCTGCATTCTATCTTTCTAGACTCTTGTTAGTGTGTTTCTACACACAAAAAGTCACTTACTGACAAGGGAGAAAAGCTTTCTTGTTTCTCGATAGAGTATTTCTTTAAATGCTGAGTTTTCTCAAGGGAGACTAATGAGGGATCTCCCTTCCTCCAAGATTAGATTAGGATGGGGCCAGGTATATAAACCATGTCTCCATGCAGAAAGTTTTACATGATAGTCACTCCTTCAAACATTTGAAATGGAGCTGGAGAGATGGCTCCTCCATTGACAATTAAGGCTTATAGCCAAACATATGAAAAATTCTAGTGTCTTATAGAACCATGGGACAGAAAAGAAACTAAGGTGTTATAGGTGCAGCCCTTGCCTTCAAGTAGATAAATGACTACAACTTAGGACAAAAAGAAAATAGGAGGTGAGGATGTAGTTCAATTGGTAGAGTGCTTATTTAAGGCATATAAGGCCAGGGGTTCTGTCTACAGCCCCCATCAAACCATCATCTCAGTCACCTAAAAGGTTCTAATCCATCCTTGAATACATGAGACTCTCTCTCAAAAACAAAAGTAAAATCACCACACATGTAAACAAGAATATGATAATATGGATTGTCCCTTCAGGTACAAAAGATAGACTCAACATCTTTGTTCAAATACCTCTCTTTGTACCAAGCTTAGCTATGGTTTAACAATCAAACAAGCAGAATTATGGTGATGCTGTAGAGAAGCCAAATAAAGATTGGGAGCACACACAGAGGCAAGAAAAAGTTTTCAGAGGCTGACAAGGAGTTTAGCTGCATTTTCACAGGACATCTATGTAAACTGTGTTAGTCTTCCTATTCTAGTTTGCTTTCTGTTGCTGAGCTAAAACACCAAATAAAAGAAACCTCGGGAGGGAAGGGTTTGTTTTATCTGCAAAGTTATAGTCCAGCATTGAGAGAAATCAGGAGAGGAACTCAAAGCAAGAACCCAGAGACAGGAACTAAAGCAGATACCATGCTGCTTACTGGCCTGTTCCCCATGCCTTACTCAGCCTGCTTTCTTATAGTACCTAGGCCCACCTACCCAGGGATGGTACCATTCATAATGAGTTAACCTCTCCCACATCGAACATCAATCAAGAAAATGTACCACAGGCTTGCCCACAAGTCAATCTGATGGAAGAATTTTTCCACTTGAGGTTCATCTTCCCAGATAACTCGAGCTTGTGTCAAGCTGACAAAAGTAACCATCACACCTCCCAACATTACTGTAGATGATCCTGTCTTCTCTCTAACCCCACTGATGCTCATATCCAGCCCCTCTTTCCAGTTTCACTGGCAAATTCCAATTACCACTCGTCTGGTAAAGCAGATGTCGTGGGAATCCTCCTACTCTCGGCCAGACTGAGAATGCAGAGATGACTGAGAGGCCAAAAGATGCGAGCTTATAGTCGAGTGAGGGACAAGTGATCATGAAACATTTAATGAAAACAAAAGCTCACCGTCTTCCCTGACAGGAACTGAGACAAGAGCCTCCTTATAGTTCCTACTGGTCCCAGTCTCCCCATCCACGACTCATTGTCATCATAACATTGATCAGACCACCCTATCCCACCCCCAAAAAATATCTTTCCATGTCTCTATGTTTCTTAGTAACTTCATATTTACCCCAGATCCTGGCGTACCTCCCCCCACACTGCTCAGGCCGAAGCTCGATTCTCCAGCCTTCTCTCCCACTTCCTTCCTAAAGAAATCTTGTGCTCCAATGTCATTTTCCCAATGTACATCTCACATATGTCTGTGCTGGTCTCCACAGTCCTGACCTATTTGAAATGGC